GCAGCTTTTGAATAAATTCCAGATATTTTTCACCAATGCTGTAGGGCTTGCAGAATTCAGTCAGGTTCTGGTACCCTACAGGGATTCGTTCTGCTTGGGCCTGCTGTAGCTTGAACATCCTCAAAGAGACCTGAAGAAACCAAGCAACACATAGAAAATGAATAAATTTCCTTAACTTATAGAATTTGGAATTATTTTTGAAATTGCAGAATCTACTACAATATTTTCCTACTTACCTTTCAGTAGTAAGAGTTTAGAAATTCATTCAGTCTCAGTTATGAGTGCATTAAATTGACTTAAACAGGCTATTCTGTAAATCACAACTTACCCTCCTCAGCATTTCATCTCCTTGAAACATTAGCTTGCGAATGTGAGAGATAATTCTCTCCCGGACTTTTTTCAGTTCCAGATGGCGATAGTTGGCTTCAGAAACACAGCTTCTATATGTGACTTCTGATTCCTGAGCCTGTGTGTGTGAAATAAAAACTGATGAAAGGTATGGAAAAGTCAACTTGGATATGCCAATGAGTGAAGTCCTTAACTGTGGGGATGTCAGTAAGAAAGACCGATGTGAGTGCCAGTTCTGCACCCAAAATAAACAAACTTCTATATTGTATCATTTATTTTAGGTCGAAACTGAAATCATGTATGCAGTTCATTCTGACATAAAACAAAATTTGTTGCAATTGTGGCAATTGTCCTGCCTTTGGACACCTTACAGCTTATTTCTGAATTGAAAACACTGTAATAGGATTAATCCACTCTGGCACTAAGCATCTTCCATCCTTCTTTCTTTCAAAGACTTAAGGACTCACCTCAGTTGTTTCCAGGACTAATTATTAGTATCTCCATTATCGGAGGTACCATATGATCCTGATACTCTTTTTCACAATCATTGTAGTGCTTGTGCCTTCAGTCTAAATCACAAGACCAGGATCAGCAGAATCCTATTCTTCCTCAGTGCATACAGGTATTATGCTCTTTACGTGTGGGCTACAGCTTTAGCTCCCAGGAACAACTTTGAATTTGGTAGTCATTTGTATAAAGTCACTTTCATAACCATCATATTGTTTTCCTCAACATACTCCCCCAGCTTGGGACTTTGCCATTGCAGCAGGACCATCATATATTGAGCCAAAGTCCAAACCTTCTCACCAGTGGCCAGCTGGGCAGTTGCCCCTTGTACAACTAACACCACTGTCTGCAATTATTGCCAAATCATCATCTCCTTCTGATATAAATATAGATCTGTCCCATTTGCTTTGGAATGGACAGGCCAAGACAAGATGCAAGATATTGAAAATTCTGCTTCTAAAGCTCTATTGGTGACAACAGAGACTCCTATCTTGTTCCTACACCCACCTCCAGTTCAACTATAGGAGAGTCATCTCAGGGCACTTTTTGAGTCATAGGGTTGGAAGGGACCTGGGAGATCTAGTCTGATCCCTTAGCCCAGGGCAGGAATCCTCATACTATCTCAGATAATTGGCTATTCAACATTTGCTTGAAAACCTCCAATGAGGGAGCATGATTCCAGGACGCAGGCTGTTCCACTACTTAATAGTTTTCACAGTCAAGAAATTCCTCTTCAAGTTTGGATCTTCTTCTGTAAAGCTTCTTTTCCTACCCATTGCTTCTTATGCTACCCTCAGATGCTATGGAGAATAATCCACATCCTCTTCCCTGGGACAGATGTTCAGGTATTTGAAGACTGCTATCATCTCTCCATTTAGACTACTCTTCTTTAGGCTAAACATACCCAGTTCCTTCAACCACTCTTCATTGGATTTAACTTCCAAGCCTCTTACCACCTTCATTGTTCTACTCTGCATTCTTTTCAGTTCTTCACCTACAGTACCTTCTTGTATTGTGACAAGGAGAACTGGACCCAGTATTCCTGGTACAGTTTGACTACTGCAGCACAGAATGGAGCTATCATTTCTCATTATCCTGACAGGAAACCTCTGTGGATGCAGTCCAAGATTGCACTGGCTCTTTTGGCAGCTGCAGCTGGCTTGTGCTTAATCTGTGATCTACCAGTACACTCAGATCCTTCTCACAAATACTACAGGTAGTCCTCTCTTACCGACCAGTCATTAAGCAACAGTTTGAAGTTGCAATGGTGCTGAATGAGTGGTACTTACGACTGGTCCTCGAAGTTCTGGCTATCACAACATTCTAGTGGTCACATGATCACAATGCAGGTACTTGGCAACTGGCTCACACTTATGATGCTTGCAGCGTCCCGTAGTCATATGATCGCCATTTGCGATCTTCCCTGCTGGCTTCCCACAAGCAAAGTCAATGGGGAAGCTGGCAGGGAAGGTCACAGGTTGCTTTGTTAAGTCCCCCCAGCCTTCCTGCACTCGCACCCCACCATGCCATCCATCCTCTGGCCTTCCTACACATCCTACTGCACCATTCACCCTCTGGCCTTCCTATACTCATGTTGTGCTGCAGCACTCCTTCCCCTGGCCTCCCCAACTTGTGTGCAACCTGACCAGGCTCCCCAGGGCCTCCCCAGGCCTCCCTCACCCCCCCACAGCACCCCCATCCCCCTGTGGCACCTCTGCGTGGCACCACCTTGCTCCTCAACTGGGACTCCTGCCGCTTCCTGCTTAATGACCTGCACATCTTGGGGTTACGATGGCAACCAGGACTGCTGGGATTGTTGTTGCTAAGTGATGCGGTCACGTGACGTTGCACTTTATGACTGCATTGCTTAGCAGCAGCAATCCTGGTCCCAATTGCCGTCGTAACCCGAGGACTACCTGTACTGCTAAGCCAGATACTTGTATCTGTGCAAAATAGATTTTCCTACCTAAGTGCAGAACCCTCACCACTGAACTGCATTTTATTGGATAAGGCCCAACATCTATCAAGAATTGGTCTTCTGTGGTATTGGTAATCTCATTCCCCCCAGCTTTGTGTAGTATGCAACTTTAATGAGCATTTCTTCTATCTCCTCTTCTAAGTCATTTATGTAAATGTTGAAGAGCATAGGCTCAATGCAGAATCCCACTAAATATCTCCTTTCATGTTGACATAGAACCATTAAGGACATGCACTGGGTATCATTCTTCACAACATTGTTAACATGCATTCCTCCAGTCCCTGAGTTGACAAAAAAGTATGCCAACATAATTTGCACTATCCCAGTGGTTGAGCTCTAATCTTCCTTTTCTGAGAGGACAGTTGGAGGGCAGCAATTGGTAGATTTATTCGGCTTTGTTCCCTCTTTCACTCAGTACCACCAGCCTGTGGGAAAAATCACCACCGCTAATAGCTCTATTCAACAGTGGAGCGGGCTTGGCAAGTGTGTGGGCTAAAACAGGAAACTCTTGTTAATTTCAAACACTCTCCCAAGTATCCTGAATTGGTAAGTGCTGCAAAGGATAGCAGCACTGACAGTGAGTTGCAGCAGCCAACAGCACCCGGAAGAGTCCCACCCCGAAAGTAATAACAACAATAGAAAACATGGCTATGTGAAATCCTTTGTTGTCAGAAGCAGCATAAAAACTGTAATGCACTAATGCAATAACAGAGAGCTGGCAGAACTGGCCTTCTTTCCCAGTTTACATCAACTTTCCACGCAGAGAGGTTCCTTCCTTCCTATTTTAATTATAGGTCTGCCATTTTTTCAAAGGTCTGCTAAATACATGCTTAAAAACAGCCCTGCTGAATATATAAGGGACCTGTGAAATGCCTGAATAGTGCTTTCCTGGAAAGCCAAGATTTACTGCCATATCTGGTATGAAGTCTGACACAAATTTCTCTATTGCTTCCATGGTTGCTTCTGGAACTGCAACAGGAGATACATTTCTTATTAGGGAAAGAGGATGCCTAGCTAGCTCCTCTTATGGACTACATCTCTGATTTTTATTCAAGATATTTTTAGATATTATGATGCTACTATCCCTTGCACCAGGGCTTCTGGTTGTATCTACTGATTCACAAGATGCCAATTTTATGTTTATATCTCCTTAGCATCATCAGAATCTTTGTTTCATGTTGGATGCCCTCATTTATCAATTTTCTTTTCTACTGTTTAGGTTGGCCATAGTTCCAAGAGATTTTTCTAAATGCATGGAGTAGCAATCTATCTCTACTCAAGATACATAATCCTGTAGCCAATATTGGATTGTAGTCATCCCACGCTGAACTTTACAGGCATGTTCTTGTTGGTTTGTTTATTTATTTATCTATCAGTTTTTCATCTCATGAAAAAAATGACTCTGGGCAGCATACAATATAACTATAAAACAATAATATACAAAAAATAATTTACAATCCCAAAAATTAACATTAAAGGCTAAGAGAGGGCAGTAGATATTAACAGCAATGGATCCACTTAATACTAGTTAGGGCTTAAGAGCCATCTTGAGGATCTTCTTTTCCCCATTTCCAGGCCATACAATTCATCAGAGTACTTACAGAAGCAATCAAGAGCACAGACTTTTTTTCCAGCTACATGAAATCTGCCCAACTCCTAGATTTCATTTTGTGTTGTACAAGACTTGCACAATATTCTTAAAAACAATTAACATGGTAGAGGAAGAAAACATTTTGATCGGTGTAATGAGCCAGATATACTACTAATACATATGAAGTATTCTCTATGAGTTATTAATCTTCTCAGATGTTTTGGGGGCAATTCAGTGATCAATCTCTTTGCATCACGCCATAATCAAAATTGCCTCTGGAGTAGGGCAAGAATAGACTTGCAGTCTCTTGACAATTAATGTGTTTTTTTCCCTCCTAAGCCACTTCCTTTTGTCACCATTCATGATCTGGATACTTGCCAAGATCTGCTTCCTTGGCAGTTTTGCTCCACACTATAGCTCATTCAGGGAACTATCTCCAGTTCCTAAGCCACACAAGCTTATTGTCCCTCTATCAGAGAAAAGTCTAGAATCCAGAGCATGGCTCCTTCCAACTTCCCTTTGATCACATACAGTGGTACCTCGGTTCACGAACACTTCTGTTCACGAACAATTCGGTTCACGAACAGCTCCGGTCGCAAAATTTTGCCTCCGTTCGCGAACTCTGCATCGGGTGATGAACAGGATCCACAGCCATTTTCCCTCCCATGACACGTGGTTGCGGCTTCCTGTAGGGAGGGGGACTCTCCCTCCAAGCAGTAACCGCCTCCCCGCCCGCCTTCCTGTCCTCCACACCAGAAGTCGCGTCG